GAAACTTTCAAAATGATGTAACTTTGGCTATGTGTATTTTCACCAAAAAAAAAATGTCCTCAAGGTCAAGAAGGGAGAGTGTTGACATGTCATGGGGTTGTTAACCAATGTCATGAAATAATACTTATACTCACTGTTTAATGAGAAACTATTTGTTCTGTAAACCTTCATCTAAAGTACAATAAAAAAAATTTAAAAAAAATCCATCTCTGGATTGAGATGAGATGCTGTCTTCATTATGTACCAAATTTCCATATGTATTTGGGAGACTATTTCCACACTTTCTATTCTGTTCCATTGGTCTGTCTATTATGCCCCACACTGTTTTAATTATTCAGACTTTAATTCTGTTTTAATAGCTAGTAGAGCTAGTGCTCATTGCTCTTCTTTTTCCAAATTCTTGTCACTAGTGCTTGTTTATTTTCCCATATGGACTTTAGAATAAGTTTGTTTAGTTCCAGAGGGGAAAAAAAACCCAAAAACTATTGGTATTTTTATGTTGGGGTGCCACTGGGGAGGGCTGACATCATTATAATGTTAAGTCTCCTATCCAGAAACATGCTACTTCTTTTCGTTTGTTTGAGTCTTTTGTGATCTTTAAGAGTCCCTCCCCGTTTCTTAACACAAAAGATAAAGATAGATAGAGATATACACACAGATTTTTGCATATCTTTTCTTCTATTATATTTTTTAACAGGTTGTTATTTGGATATAGGAAGCCTAAGGATTTCTTTACACCAGTTTTATGTATCTTGCTTCCCTACTGAAATCTCTCAATGTTTATAGTAGGCTTTCAATGGGTTCTCTTGGGTTTTCCAGGTATACAATCATATGATCTGCAATAATAAGAGCTTCACTTCCCCCTTTAATGTTCTTAAATTTTATATGTATTTATAAAACTCCTAGTGGGTGCTCAACCTTAGATGTTGAACATACAAAGATAGGATGATAAAACTACCAGAACATCGATAAAGTGCGATATGTAGAGTGGGATGAGGGAGAGCAGCTGATGGTAGAAGTGAGAAGAAAATGAGATGAAACACAAGCAGCCGTCTCCTCCAGGAATTAACAGTAGATGGGTCAGATTTTCTCTTTCCCACACCTCACTGGCTAATTCTTCTAGAACAATCTGAGACAGTAGTGATGATAGCAGGCATCCCTCTCTTAATATTGACTTAATAGTAGGAAATCCTCCAGTATTTCTCCATTAAGTATAAAGCTGGCTTGTGGGCTGATAAATAAATTGCATTTTATCATATGGAAGAATTTACTGATTCCCCTTTTACTGCATTTTATCAAGCATAGGCATTAAATTATGTCAAATGCCTTTCCAGCATTTATGAATAATCTTGCTTTCCTTGAATAAACCACTTGAATTTGTAAGCTCTGCTTTAAAAATAGTGAGACTGGTTTTCTTGTTAGAAGGGTATCCAGACACTTTGAACAATGTCCTGGGCACAGAAACGTGTATGGTCTCCCAAGGACAACAATTCTTACGAATATATATTCATCAGTCTCAATACATTATAGCTTCCCTATGTGCGCTTGGGAGTCCCTGGGTGCAAATGGCTGCTAACTGAAAGGTTAGAAGTTTGAGTCCACTCAGAGGTGACTTGAAAGAAAGGCCTGGAGATCTACTTCCAAAAAATCAGCCACTGAAAACCCTATGGAGCACAGTTCTCTGACACACATGAGGGCACCATGAGTTGGAGTAGACTCAACAGCAACAGGTTATGTGTATTGAATTTTATATGTATTTATAAAACTCCTAGAGGGTGCTCAACCTTAGATGTTCAACATATAAAGATAGGATGATACAGCTACCAGAACATCGATAAAGTGCGATATGAAGAGTGGGATGAGGGAGAGGCAGCTGATGGTAGGAGAAGTGAGAAGAAAATGAGATGAAACACAAGCAGCTGTCTCTTCCAGGAGTTAACAGTAGATGGGTCAGATTTTCTCTTTCCCACACCTCACCAAATCCCCCTTCCTGTCCTGCTGGTGGTTCCCAGGTCCTACCCTGGGCCCTTTTATTACTTTTCCCCAAATTACCCCATTGCTTTTAAAGATTTAATGTGTTTGGCTGTTCCAAACTAACTGTATTAAGTAATGATGAATTATTCTACCCTTTAACAGAGACCTTTATGGCCTCCAACTAGCTTCTGGTTAGAATATGCTAACCAGAACTGCCATGCTGAGCTGATGTACTTTCAGACAAAGAACAGAAACACCACATGTCAGCTTGAGGAGGCTCACGTTAGGCAAGTAAAGCAGTTTGAAAGGCTTTTTGAAATACTGATACTAGTTTGTATATAGCTTATTGCTTCATTCCTAGATCACTAAGGTGGGAACCTCTGATCTCACCCTCAATTAAGACCTACTGGTGATGTATAAAGGGCAGGAGAAAGGTGCAGACTGTCAGTGAAAGAGAGTAAGGCCCTCAACAAGATGAACTGACACAGTGGCTACAATGATGGGCTCAAACATAGCAACGATTGTGAGAATGGCACAGGACCAGGCAGTGTTTCGTTCTGTTGTATATAGGGTCGCTATGAGTCAGAACCTAACAACAACGATGGTAACTAACAACAACAACAATAACCCTTGGAGATTATGATTCTTTAGATCTGAGGATGAGGCCCTGGAATCTCCATTTTCAATGTGCTCTCATGTGATCCCTAAACCTGCTAAAGCTTGAGAACCACTCCCAAGAGCAAAGCCAGCAATATATTGGTTGCCTTTTCCTGGTCTGCAATGAAGTTCCTTCTGTGAAAACAACCATTCTCCATGCACAACTGCCTTGTTTGTCATGAGACTAGAAGAACTAGATGGTGCCCAGCTACCATTACTGAACATTTTGATCAAAGATTCTATAGAAGAAGAATCCTGATTGAAAGAGGGGAAATCTGGAAGAGAATTTCAAATTCTCACAGAATTCAGATTTCTGGAGCCATGGAGGCTGGTTGAACCCCTGAAACTACTGCCCTGAGATAATCTTTAAACGTTAAACCAAAAATATTCCCTGAAGTCTTCTTTAAACCAAACAATAGTTTAGCATAACTAGTAAAGAATGTCTGCCTTGAGCATTATGCTTTTTTAATATCTACCTATGTAGGATCAAACTGACAACAACAACTCGAAAGACTGGATAGGAATGTTGGGGGCAATGAGTTTATGTTTATGGGGGAGGAACAACTCAGAAAAGTAGGATGAGAATGGTTGCAAAACTTGAAGAATGTAATCAATGGCACTGAATTGTACATGTAGAAACTGTTGAATTGGTGTATGTTTTGCTGTGCATATTCACAACAACAACAAAAATAAAATAAATTATATTTTTAAAAATCCCAGAGGAAAAAGAATTCCTTAGTTACTTTCTTTTTCCTTCAGAATTTCAAAGGACTTTGGTTATGAATGCTGATAAAATGGTTTATTTTTATTTTTCTAGATTCTGGTTATCTGTCTGCTAATGAATTCATTAAAAATTAAATTTAAAAAGAAAACATATAACTGCTACAGGTGGGGGATGAGTTGGTGACGGTCTACAAGTGCCTCACAGCCTAACAAATGTGATGTTTCTGCTCCCTGACCTGTACCTAGCCAGTGGTGGCACTGCCAAGTCATCTTGAGAGTCAAGTCTGTCTCAGACTGACACAGAACTGAGTTCCTCATTCTATGTTTAGTGACAGAAGAGGTTGTAATTTGGATATAAGCCTTTGCCATACCATGTTGGTGCTCAGATGCAGCCCTCTGTGAGCATTTCAAAATGCAGGGGCTAGGAGCCAAGAGAGGGGGAAAAAGGAATTTCCCTGAGGAGATCTATTTTACAGGAGTAGTTTTTGGAATTTTTGCTTGGGCTCAGATTTTTAAATGGTACATGTGGGAAAAACGATCCTGGGCGTGGAAAACTTGATCTCTCTCAAAAGATATGTCTGAAAACCACCCCAGCTCATGTAAGATATTTAAAAGCTTCTATGATAACAGAAGCTCTAAGTGGATTTTATCTTCAAACACCTAGGGTTCCAAAGCATGGCTCACCCTTGACCTGTGACAGAACTGAAATCTTTCTAATTGTAAAGTGAAATAAGACCATAGCAACTGTAATGGGCAATGAAATGGAATGGGGAACTGCAATGTGACCGTTAAGACATGACTGAGTTTAAATCAGCAAAGCACAGAAACTTAGGACTGGAAAAAAAGATTTTTGAGGCTTTGTTTTTAAAGACTTTCTTTACAGGGGTGCTTGTTAAACTTTTTTGACGGGGAGCAATAGGGCCCGTTTGCAAATCTAACGGAAGCTATGGACTCGCTCCGCAGATGCACACACACAATTTTCCGGGCAATTTCTGGATTCCGTAGACTCCCTGGAGCAATGCGGAGGTCCATATTAAGAACCTCAGCTTTGGCACTGCATTTTAAGAAAATTGCCTGTACTGGTTTCTCCCATTTGGAACCGCTTTAGACAGAGGGGCAACTTTCACGCACCTAGGCAGGCCCTGTGGAGGCAGGAAAATAGGACTGATAGTCTTCTCATGGGGGTAAGCTAAGGCCAAGTGAAAAGTCAGACCACTCGGTTATGCCTTTACTGAAGAAGCCTGTGCGCTTTTAAACATGCGCCTCAGTCCTCTCCGAGGGCTCCAGCTGCAGGCAAGTGGCACAAGCACCAGTAGGCGAAAACTCCTGTCAAAAGTTGGGAAGGAAAGTAGGCCCCTGAAGACACTGCCCAACTCCCTCATCCACCTGCAGTGTCAGTTACCAAACAACGTCAGAGGTGGAAGAAACTTACCCCTTCACACCACCAGCTGCATTCAACAGATGAGCAAACTGACCCCAGTGGGCCAACGTGCTTACCAAGGTCACCTAGCCGGGCTCACACCCAGAGCCCTCTCTCCGCAACACTCGCCGACTCGCCAGGTGTGAAGAGGGCATCAAGTGCCCTCTCCCTACGCCTCGCCGCCACCCGCCCCGAGGGCGCCACCGGGAGCCGAGCCCCCGCCTACCGGCAAGATGGAGTAGGTCATCATCATCAGCATGTCCTGGCTTTCAGCGCGGATGTGCGGTGCGGGCTCCCCGCGGTGGCTGCGCTTGCTGCGCGCCGCGCTCGCGGGGCTCTGGGAAGGTGCGGGGACCTCGCGCGGTACGCGGCTTAGCTCGACCAGAAAGGCTTGCAGGGCGCTGTCCTCGCGCTGCTCCCGGCCCCGCTGCGCCTCCAGAGCCCGCAGCGTCGCGCTCAGCTCGCGCCACTGGCACAGCACGAACACTGTACCCGCCGCGTTGAGGGCCAATAGCAGCGCCACGGCCGCCACGGCGCCGCGCAGCACCCAGCCCGCGCCGCCACGGCCTCGCTGCGCTCCTCGAGCCATGATCTGCGCGCCTCGGGCGGGGTAGGGCGGAACTCGGCCACCGCCCGCCGCCCGCCGGGGCAGCCTTTATACGCCCCGGGCACTCCGTGGGCTGGTGGCAGCGGCGTGAGTCACGGGTTGGGGACTGTAGTGGTGGCGCCCGAGCAGCCCGGAGGGACAGGCGGGTATAGAGGGGGAGAGGAACAAGTCGAGACAGCCTGCGGAGGAGGGGCGGGCAGTGCCTGGCCAAGCAAACCCACTTCTCCCTCCCTTTCCTGCTGCTGCCCTGCCCGTGGTCATTGCCATGGCCCAGACAGGCAAAGCAAGGGTGAGACTGAGGGGGAGAGCAGGAATTCTTATGGCCTGAGAAGTCACTGGATTCCACCCCCTACCCCCTAAAGGCCAAGGGCCGCTGTCCCTGGGAGGCCTGCTACTGGGCCCACCCCTAGGCAGCCTGCCCATCGGCTCCTCCTGACAGCCCCACGGCCTCACAGGCCACTGAAGGCCCCCAGCAGCTTTCCAACGAAGGGGCTGGATGGGGACAGGGAGACAGTTGGCATTGGAGGGTTTAAAAGGCTACCATCCAGAAAAGCCCAGCCCTGCCTGACAAGCAGAAGTCATCATAAAGGGAGATTTCCAGGATTTGTAGGCTAAGAACCCTTCCTGGCACCCGTACGGGAGAGGGCAGGGTGATGAGAAAAGAACGAGTGAGAGTTAGGATGCCAGGTTCTAACCCTACTCTGCTACTACCCAGCTGGGATACTTCAAGCAAGTCCCAGGACACTCTGGATGTCTGTTTCTGCATTTGTGAAATGAGGGGTTTGGGCCAGGGGATGCCTGAGGTGCTTTCTGCTGAAGGGTTAGAGATCCGGAGACTCCCTCAGCACCTGGCCAGACTGGGGCTGGGCCTTACCTAGCCTGCCTGGCTTGCAGGGGCAGCTGCTTCACACCACCTAGTTACCCCATCACATCACCTGCCCTTGCTTGTCAACTCAGATGCCTGCTCAGCCTCACGGGCCACTGCCCCCAAATGCAGAGTCACTTCTCAGAATCCACTTCCTCTGTACACCTCTTCACTCTTTGCGTTTCTCAGCTTCTCCCAGAGTAGCTCTGACTCCCCGGGACCCCAGGGCCAGCAGGAGACCTTGATGGCATGGGAAGATTCCAATCTGAAGCCAAGATTGCTGTTTCTACAGCCCAGTATTTCAGAGAAGGTGGCAGTTGCCTGCCTTCTCATCTAGCAGGAGCCTCCAAGGAGAGAAAGGACCACTAGCCTAGAGGGCCACTGCTGTTTCAGAACAATGTGTGCTGGGGGTGTGTGGGGACCAGTGCGACTCTGTAACCATCCCCTACCCAGGGATGTGCATTCCAGTTCCTTATAGGTAGGTTTTTTTTGGCTCAAAAGAGAGAGCCTGGGTGATGTCACTCTGCTTGTCCCCTAGTCACCATGGTGTGCTGAGGGCAGAGCCTCTAACGAAGCACAAGAAAAGTGAAGTTACATCTCAATCGGGAGCTCTGTGTCAAGGCCTGGGCTTCTGGGCTTTAACAGAAACATGGACAAACTTGAGTCTTCTTAGAGGAGCATCCAGGATGAGGAGGAGTTAGGACAACATGAAGGTCCAAGTGGTTCATGAAGTACCCCGACTATGGAGACATGATGGCTGGGGTGGGGGGAGGGTGGCAGTGGTATAGTTGACTTTGTCTAGTCCCTCCCAACTGTAACATGCTGTAACCTATTTGAAGAACTGTCATGTGCCTTTATTCTCTTTTCACCCAGGTGTCAGACTTACAATCAGTGGGGAGAAAGCACAGGGAGGCAGATTTGGGGCTCACCACCAGTAAGACCTTCATTTAATTCAGTACACATTTGCTGGGCCCCCACTGAGTGTCAGGCACCGTGGAGGGCATTGGAAGTTCAAGGATGAACGAGACAAGCCAACTTGCTTCCCACATACACTTGTAGTGAGAGTGTTGTGGAGCGGCTTCTCTTTATCCTAACACTGGTTACAGTTACTGCTGACTGACCAGTTGTCACCAGTGCCCACGACAACCACAGAGTGTAAAGTCTCCTGAGATTAGAGGCCACATCTTTTTTGACTCTCTCACCCCCAACACCTAGCAGAGTCCCTGGCTCAAAATGGGCATTCAATAATTACCTGCTGAATAAGTGACTAAATGAAAGGCTGTTCAGTGAGGGCATTGCTATGTAGAAGGATGCGTGTGGCGGGGCACGGGGGTCAAGAACTAAACTATACTTATGCCACACAAGTGGCCCCACTTCTCCTTGGAAGGCTGACTCTCCAATGGCAAGGAGTGTGGTGGAAACCTGATTACCCCTCCCCGCTCTCATCTGGTTCAGAGCTCAGAGCCAGTAGATGGAGTGGAGGCGGGGCCCACTTGAAGCCAGCCAGCCAGCCAGGCTTTATCAGACAAGATCAGGCCAAGATGCTGCCCCTCTTGGGATATAGGACCCAAAAGGTTTGTGGTAGGACAGTGGGCTGGGAGAGTGGAGTGCCTAAGATATTGCACTGGGGCCAAGAGAGGGGTAGAAGGAGGGCACAGGAATGGCCAGACTCCTTTCCTACCTAAACCCTCTCTCAGATCCCTCTCCAGCTCTTTTTGTGCAGGAACATGGCATTTTACAAGGATGGAGGAGGGTGGGCATGTTGATTCAGCCTGTGAGGCATTCATTTTTACTCATCCCTCACCCCAAAACAGTTGTCTCCAAGCAGCTGGCCTCACTCTGTTCTCTCTTCTCTTTCTCCTCTCTACAACCATTCTCTTTACCACAGCTCCATACATCGACCTTACTCCTCCTCTTGTCCTTCCTCATCAAGCTTTCCCTTCCTGTGTCGGCTTAAAGTATTCTCTCTGTGTCCAACTCTGCAAGCCCCAAGGGCACAGTAGGGGATCTAGTTATGAGCATGGGCTTTGGAATAAGCTATATCTGAGCTTGAATCCACCTTTCAACTATGTGACTTTTGCTAAGCTACTCAACTTCTTTAAGGAGACCATAATTGTATCTATCTCATAAGGTTGTAAAGGTTTAATAAGAAAATACATATCAAGCACTTGGCATATAGTAAATGCTCAGTGGACATCAGTATTATTGGTTATGGGTTGTATGAACTTGCTGACCCTTATACTGTGCCTTGTGCTGTTGACCAAATTTTCCATTGTCCACATCTTAGTTCTTCAGTTGGGTTCTAGTATGCTTAAGGCAGAGACTTATCTTCACCATGTCCCTCACAGCAGGGACTTGTGCCAAGTGCTAATCAATTAATTACCTGATTAGCTAATCACACTTCGTTGATGCCCTTTGAGGCATAGGCCTTTTGGGCTCTTGTCTGGGTACAGTGCCTCTGAGGTTAGTTACATGGGGTCCTTCAACCTCTGGACTTCTAAGCCTCCTGAGACTTCTTAATAGACAATTATGTCTACACTTCCCTGTCTGGTCCCTCCCAGAATGGGCAGGCACTTTCTGCTATTTTATATCAATCTGGCCTGCTTTGTTGACATAAGGGGTCCAAGATAAAGTAGGGACATAGGGAAATATCTGAATTAGCTTTTCTGGAGACCAAAGATGCCAAGAACACTGTGTGCTATCTTTACAGAGAGAAATAGATTTTCCATTAAAAGGCAGATGCTTCATTTCCAAAGGTTAAATAGAATGGTCCTTAAGAAATTGTTCCAGCTGGTTAACTTTAGGACCCTGGAGAATAAAATTCAATTCAAGAATCTACCCTGACTTTAAGTCCACAGTATTTCCTCCTGATTGAGAAGGGAATAATTTTCATGTTCTTTAAGGCCAGGCACTTGGGTGTTTTGGTTTCTTGTGATGAGGTTAGCAGCTCTGCCGGGACTTTGATAGGACTACTTTGCTGCACCCTCCTTGTCCTTCCTTTCTGCTGGCGGTTAGAGAGAGTCTCTCCAATAGTTGCCACCATGTATATCTTCTACCCAGCCTCTTCAGATTTTAACTGCCCACCCCCACATTTTAACCCCAAGAGTCCTCAAACCACCAGCCAAAGTTGGCAATTGTCTCTCTTTTTTCTTTTGTCAATTGTTCATTCATTCATTTATTCATTCAACAAATAGTAATTGAGTGCCTACTATCTGCCAGGAACTGTGCTAGGAGATAGGAATACAGAGGAGATCAAAACTAAACACCGTTTCTCAGTGGTGACACTAAGGTTGATGTCACCCAGTGCAGTAACTCATGGTGTCACCCCCCCATGCTAATTACCACAATATTGTAGCTAAAACACCAAAAAATTTGACAAAATTAGCAACTATAAAAACACTAGCAGCTATGAAAACAACAGCATGTGCTGGTAGCGTGTGCACACAAAACCACATGATTTGAAGCTCATTGTAATTGGGTAGTAATGACAGCTCTGACTGACCTGAGCCCATTAAAAACAAACAAACAAACCCATTGCTGCTGAGTCGATTCCAACTCATTAGAAGGTTCAAAAAGTAAATTAACATGGACTTTTAGCCTTGTAGGTATATTGATACATGTAAGCTGGGCTTATGAAAAATATTCTAGTTATAACTAACTATAGGGACATTTTTATAAAAAAATATTAATTTCTGCTGAAACACTGCACAAAGATTTTATAGAGTCATTTTGGTATTACCCCTCTGAGAGTGTCACCTGGCGGTCCACACCCCCGCACCCCGACCCCACTGGTGATGCCAGTGACATTCTTGCCTTCCTGAAGCCCACAGTCTAAATGGAGAGACAGAGGTTAATCAAGTAATCACCCAAGTGAGTGCGTCATTATGAGATGATAAGGTAAACCCCTCTGTGAGATCATGCAATCAAGGCACCTGTCCTAGAATAGGAACCCTGATGCTGCAGTGATTAAAGCACTTGGCTGCTAACTGAAAGGTTGGTGGTTCGATCCCACCAGCTGTTCCATGGGAGAAAGATATAGTCATCTGCTTCCAGCAAGATTTACAGGCCTGGAAAGCCTTTGGTGCAGTACTAATCTGTCCTATAGTGTTGCTATGAG